GGGAAAATGGTTTACGGGTTTATGCAGAAATGTATTTTTTGGGGAAATAGGGTTTACGGGTTTAGCAGTATGTTATTTTTAAGGATAGGGTTTCCCGGGGTTTTAAATGCAGTATTTTTTAGGTTTAGGGTTTACTGGGTTTCTGCAGTATGTATTGTTAGGATAGGGTTTACTGGGTTTATGTAGTATGTAATGTTAGGATAGGGTTTACTGGGTTTATGCAGTATGTATCTTTAGGATAGGGTTTACTGGGTTTATGCAGTATGTATCTTTAGGATAGGGTTTACTGGGTTTCTGCAGTATGCTCCTTGAGTTCTGTGACTGGTGTTGGCTACTCAAATCCAATGGCTCGCTTTTGCAGTGTTGCTATAAAGCTTGTGTATGCTTGGGGCTTATGAAGACTCATGGATGCTTATGAGGACTTTATGGATGCTTATGAGGACTTTATGAATGCTCTATAAATGCTTATTCCAGACAAAGCAACTTAAGGAAATACATTCTTTATTAGATTTTTTTACATTTCAACATTTTTTTTATACACAGCCCACAAATGTTATTTCAAACAGCTTGTTATCTTGAGCAAAAAATAAAGAAGCATTTTAGTATCATCCCTTTATAGTTTCATTATAACAATCTTAGAAAAAACGACAGCTAGGTAAATAAATAGATAGATAATAAAATAAAATAAAAGAATAAAGCAGAATAGAGGAGATGCATCCAGGCCCACTTCAAGGGGCAACGCTCTCTCTCTCTTTTTCTCTCTCCTCTCTCTCTCTCTCTCTCTCTCGGTCTCTCTCTCTCTCGCTCTCTCGCTCTCTCTCTCTCTCTCTCTCTCTCTCTCTCTCTCTCTATCTCTCTTTTCTTTTCTCTAAACATGACTTTAAACAGCAGCCACATCATTGTCCTTCATCCATACCAACTGATCCCAGACCTAGTGTGCGTCCCAAAATGGCACCCTGTATCCCTATGTAGTGCCCAGACTCTGGTCGAAAGTAGTGCACTATATAAAGGAATATGTTTCTATTTGGGACGCAGCCCTGTATTCACATTAATAGGATCATTAACCACTAGATCAAAGCCGTGCTAGCCTGAGTACCAGTCTGTCGGTGCCGTCATGCCAACTACCTGTCACTCATTGTCATCCTAAAACACGTTTGGCTTGACAATGACAGCAATAAGTTATGTTGGCAAGAGCACAAACAGATCCTTATATAGTACACTACAAACGTCCGTCGCAGCCTTGATTCTCATGACATCGTTGCGACAGTCTATATGAATCCATGAAGCAGTATCATACTATGGGCTGCACTGACAGGAACACAGCAGGGTCATTTCATCATCCATAATACTTATCTTCGGTATAGTTAGTTCATATTATAATAGTATTTACCACAATCAACACAAAAACAGAGACGATAGGGTTTTTTATAACAACTCAGCCCTCTTATGCTTTCGGGTTATTTCAAGAATACCATTTTTTAAATTCAGAAGACACTGTTCAGAAAACGTCTAGACATTGTATTATATTACTTGATACAGATGTGATATTATATAGAATTCCTTTAGGATATGTAATGAGTTAACGACAGACACATAGGAACTGACAGCACATACAGACGTCTTAGGGATTGGAAGAGACCGTTCAAAGTAATGAGGTTTTTGAAGCACCCTGATCAAATCTCATGTTTAATTCAGGATGAAGAAAGATGAGACGTAAATGATACATATTTAAAAAAATATCGTCACACATAAAATTGCTCTATTTCTCACGTTATTTCAAGGTCAAAGAATGATTTGATATTTCCTCATTCACACACAGCAGTTCCTTTCGTGCACCATGTTATGCTCCTTTCTACCTCTGGGTGGCACTGTTGCTTCCCAGATCTGCATACATGGTCGTGTTGGATTTAGCTTTCTGTGGATTTAGTCCTTTGGTAATTACAATTTTGACAGGGAGTATGTAAATATAGTGTCCCTATGCATTCCTACTTTTAGCGCCAGTATTATATCAACCTTGACCTTTCCAAAGAATGAGCGCGAGTCAAAGGGAGGAAGAGAGAGAGAGAGAGAGAATTGATTCTTGCAGGATGAGAGAGAGATATGATAGTGTTGGAGCGAGGGAGCAGGGTGTGGTATGATGGCTTAACACACAACTGACTCCTTGCAGGATTGAGTACTGTGTGTGTGTGTGTCACAGGCTTATATCCTCCATTTTAAACCATGCCATCCATACTAGGGTTTCTCTCTCTCTCTCTCTCTCTCTCTCTTCTCTCTCTCTCTCTCTCGCTTTCTCTCTCTCTCTCTCTCTCTCTCTCTCTCTCTCTCTCTCTCTCTCTCTCTCTCTCTCTCTCTCTCTCCTGACAGTCTTTATTTCATACCAGAGCTGTAAGGGAATATGCTGTATAGCGAAACAGGATATATGTTATTATTAATTATGGTATTTAATGTTGCATGGATCTGGAACAATCAATGCCACAAACTGTAGTAAGTGGGTGGTACGACATTACAGTTTTAGCCCAAACCACGGGGGGCCAGTATGAAAAATGCATAAATAATGTATGCACTCACTAACTGTAAGTCGCTCTGGATAAGAGCGTCTGCTAAATGACTAAAATGTAAATGTAAATGTAGAGGATGTACTTGCTGTCCCAGAAGTGGCCATTGCAAGGTAGAAGATGAACTCTCTAGTACATCTCTATGGCCGAAGTCCAAAAGATTTACCACATCTCTATGGCCCAAACCCACATGATTTACCACATCTCTATGGCCCAAACCCACATGATTTACCACATCTCTATGGCCCAAACCCACATGATTTACCACATCTCTATGGCCCAAACCCACATGATTTACCACATCTCTATGGCCCAAACCCACATGATTTACCACATCTCTATGGCCCAAACCCACATGATTTACCACATCTCTATGGCCCAAACCCACATGATTTACCACATCTCTATGGCCCAAACCCAAAAGATTTACCACATCTCTATGGCCCAAACCCACATGATTTACCACATCTCTATGGCCCAAACCCACATGATTTACCACATCTCTATGGCCCAAACCCACATGATTTACCACATCTCTATGGCCCAAACCCAAAAGATTTACCACATCTCTATGGCCCAAACCAAATCATTAATGTTCATTTGGTTTATCACCTATAATACTAAAATATACTTTCTTACAAAGTCTCTTAACCAGAGAATCACACACACACACACACACATTTCCATGTTGCCACAGCGACAGCAAACCTGATCAATGATTGGTCTATCAACACAGATTCTACTTCCTACTTCCTGTCCCTCTAGGTCACATGATCACATGTTTTGCTATGATACTAAATGAACAACAGAACACATACCGGTAATTAGTAATTATGCAATATTACAAACAAAGTAAACAAACATAGATTCATGTAGCAAATAACAAGGACATATGGAAAAGTACTTTATCATTCTGAACTATAGACTCTTAATATTCCCTCTTTACTAATAATATGTGTCCCAAATGGCACCCTATTCCCTATATAGAGTACTACTTCTAACCAGGGCCCATATGGCTCTAGCCAAAAGTAGTGCACTACATTGGGAATAGGGTGCCATTTGGGGGCGCACCCATACTTTCCCATTTCATCTGCCTTTTTATCTACCGTCATATTAAGATCTGTTATCAAGACACGCCTCCAAAGCTGCTATGGAATCCTGGGTAGTGTTCCGGGTTCTCATTCCACCTCACAGAGAACTGCAGTACTGTACAGTACGTGGGTTAGTACCCATTTAACATACAACAACACAACTGGATTCTGGTAGTAGCTACCTTTTATTACCAACATCGCTAGCAAGACTGACTGTATACCTGTAGGGTTTTGTCGGAGCAAATCTAACCATCTCTAAAAACAAACGTTACAGGATATCTTAGTTATCACCCAAACAAAACAAAAACAACAAAAACAAATTAAAAACTGATACGGGACCAAATGAATGTATATCAAAAACCAGGAGTTGGGTCACTGCACGTCTATATTAAATCATCTAAACCATATAGCAGTATAGAATAATATATGGTTTGTTTGTCCAGCCAATTCAGGGGTGGGGGAAGATCCTGTTAGTTAGTGGGAGAGGTTGATGTCCATCCATAGAGAATACACAGAGAGGGAGGAGAGGAGGAAAGTCCCCGCAGCGGGTCTGTTTCCTCCAGAAGGTGGGAACAGAAGGATGAAAGGGAGGGAGGGATAACAGACAATAGCAGCATCTTTTAATATCCCTCTGAGCGTCTGGCCATCCCCCATCTCAGAGAACGACAGCAGCAACAGGATAGAGAGAACCAGGCCATCCCCCATCTCAGAGAACAACAGGACAGAGAGAACCAGGCCATCCCCCATCTCAGAGAACAACAGGACAGAGAGAACCAGGCCATCCCCCATCTCAGAGAACAACAGGACAGAGAGAACCAGGCCATCCCCCATCTCAGAGAACAACAGGACAGAGAGAACCAGGCCATCCCCCATCTCAGAGAACAACAGGAGGGGCAGGGAGAGAGATAAAGTGCAGGAGTCCAGACCAGACCAGGCTATGCCAAACCAGACCAGTCCAGACCAGACCCAGTTCTTGGTTCTGCGGGGCTGTGGGGTTTGTGGGCCGAGGGATAGAGAAGGGTCATTGAAGGTTCAGAGTTTGTTGATCACCCTATCAGGTGGTTGTCTAGTGGTCTGACGTGGACATGTCTGTCTCGTCTCAGAATGAGAACAGGGTTTAGGATGGAGGCGAGGACTGATTGTGATTGTCGTTTGGTAGAGATAGAGAGGACAGTAGCAGGAGCTGGTTAGTTTCAGGAGAGAAGAGGAGAAACATTGCTTACAAGCAGTGCAGTAGGACAGCATCCAATGAGATGAAAAGAGAGGGAGGAGGAATGCAGTGAGTGTCAGAGTGTGACGTCCCCTCTCCTCCTTCAGCCCTTTCACCCCTGACCTCCGACCCCTGAGCCCTCTACGCCACAGAGGAGATCTGCTTGTCCTCAGGGTCTGCGTCACCCTCCCCGTCTCCCATCAGCGGCTGCCTCTTCTTCAGCTCTCGTTGATACTTGGCCATGAGCGAGGCATAGATGCATCCGTATGCCGCCGCCCCCACCATCATGATACACACGACACCACACACCACCCCGGCTATCACCACCGTGCCGATGGCCCTCCGCACGCTCACCGGCTGGTAGCGCCGCCGCACACAGTCCGGGACGGGCACCAGGTCGCCCGCAGCGGGGACCTCTGATTCGGAGGTGGGTGCTCTGCCGGTTCCCCCGGAGCCGGTAGTTCGGCTGCAGGGTGGGGACGAACCTTCTTTTCCTCCGCTCCGCGTCCCCCCTTCTCCCCCGTTCTCGTCCTCCAGTTGGAGGCAGTAGTTGAACATCTCCACTGGAACGCCACGGATGTCCCGCCCTCGCAGGTCCTTAGGGAGGGTACACTCCACCCCGTCCACCTTACCACCTGGAGGGAGAGAGAGATGGGAGGGGGGATAGAGGACAGAGAAAGGGGGAGAGAAGATGGGGATAAAGGACAGAGAGAGGGGGAGAGAAGGTAGGGGGGATAGAGGACAGAGAGGGGGAGAGAAGGTAGGGGGGATAGAGGACAGAGAGGGGGGGAGGAGAGAAGACGGGGGGAGGGGGATATTGACACGAGAGGGGGGGGAGAAGTAGGGGCGTAGAGTACGAGAGAGGCGGGGGAGAGAAAGATGGGGGGATATATATGACAGAGCGGGGGGGAGAGGAGAATGTAGGGGGATAGAGGAAGAGAGAGGGGAGGAGAGAAGGTGAGAGGTAGGGGGGATAGAGGACATAGATGAGGGCGGAGAGAAGATAGGGGGATAGAGGAACAGAGCGAGCGGGAGGAGAAGAAGGATTCGGGGATAGGGATAGAGGACAGATGAGAGAGAGGGGGCAGAGAAGGGGAGAGGAATGGTGGGGGGGATAGAGGACAGAGAGAGGGGGGAGAGAGAAGGTAGGGGGGGAAGAGGGGACAGAGAGAGGGGGAGAGAGGCGATAGGGAAATAGAGGACGAGAGAGGGGGAGAGAAGGTAGGGGGATAGAGGACAGAGAGGGGGGAGAGAAGATAGGGGGGATAGAGGACAGATGAGGGGGGGGGGAGAACGGAATAGGGGGGATAGAGGACAGAGCGAGGGGGAGCGGACGGGTAGGGGGGATAGAGGACCAGGAGCAGGGAGGGGGGAGAGAGATAGGTGGGATAGGGACAGAGAGAGGGGGAGAGCAGGTGGGGGGGATAGAGGGACAGAGAGGAGGGGGAGAGAAGTAGGGGGGATAGGGATAGAGGCACAGAGAGAGGGGCGGGAGAGAATATAGGGGCTAGGGACAGAGAGAGGGGGAGAGAGATAGGGGGGATATATAGGACAGAGAGGGGAGAGAGAGAGAAGGTTGGGGGTATAGAGGACAACGAGGGGGAGAGAAGGTGGGGGGGTAGAGGACAGAGAGAGGGGGGAGAAGGTAGGGGGATAGAGGACAGAGAGGGGGGAGAGAAGGTTGGGGGGATAGAGGACAGAGAGAGGGGAGAGAAGGTAGGGGGATAGAGGACAGAGAGAGGAGAGAGAAGATGGGGGGGGGGGGAATGAGAGGACAGAGGAGAGGGGGGAGAGAAGGTAGGGGGATAGAGGACAGAGACGAGGGAGAGAGAGAAGCGCGGAGGAGAAGGTGGGGGGATACTGGGGATAGAGGGACAGAGAGAGGGGGGACGAGAAGGTGGGGGGTAGGAGGGTAGAGGACCAGAGAGGGAGAGAGGAAGGTGGGGGGATAGAGGACAGAGAGAGGGAGAGGGAGAGAAGGTGGGGGGAGAGAGGCACAGAGAGGAGAGGGGGAGGGGGTAGAGGACCGAGAGGGGGGAGAAATGGGGGGATAGAGGACAGAGGAAGAGGGGGGGGAGAGAGGTGGGGATAGAGGACAGAGAGAGGGGGAGAGAAGGTCTAGGGGGATAGAGGAAGAGAGAGGGGAGAGGGACTAGGGGAAAATAGAGGATCAGAGAGAGGGGGAGAGAGGTAGGGGGATAGAGGACAGATGAGGGGGGAGGAGAGGGAGGTAGGGGGGATAGAGGACAGAGAGGGGGGGGGAGGGAGAAGGTAGGGGGATAAGAGGACAGAGAGACGGGGAGAGAGAGAGAAGCTGGGCGGGAGATAGAGGGAAGCTGATAGGGGGAGGAGAGAAGGTGGGGGGAGATAGAGACAGAGAGAGGGGGAGATGAAGGTAGGGGGGGGATTAGAGGAACCGAGAGAGGGGAGGAAGATAGGGGGATTAGAGGACAGAGAGAGGGGACGAGAAGATAGGGGGGATATAGGACAGAGAGGGGGAGAGAAGGTGGGGGGATAGAGGACAGAGAGAGGGGGAGGGGAGAGACGGTGGGGCGTGATTAGAGGACAGAGAGAAGAGAGGGGGAGAGAAGGTAGGGGGGATAGAGGACGAGAGAGGGGAGAGAAAGATCGGGGGATAGAGGACCAAGAGAGAGGGAGAGAGAAGGTGGGGGGGATAGAGGACAGAGAGAGGGAGCGGGAAGAGAAGGTGGGGGATAGAGGCAGAGAGAGGGAGGAGAGAAGCTAGGGGGGATAGATGGCACAGCGAGAGGGGGAGAGAAGATGGGGGATAGAGGACAGAGAGCGGGGGCGAGAGAGTGGGGGGGTAGAGGACAGAAGAGGGGGGAGAGAGATAGGGGGGGAGGATAGAGACAGAGAGGGGGGAGAGAAGATATGTGGGGGATAGAGGGACAGAGAGAGGGGAGAGAAAGATAGGGGGGATAAGGACAGAGAGAGGAGAGAGAAGCTAGGGGGGATAGAGGGAACAGATAGAGGGGGAGGAGAGAAGGTAGGGGATAGAGGACAGAGAGAGGGGGAGAGAAGGTGGGGGATAGAGGACAGATGTAGGGGGAGGAAGGGGGGGGGGGGTAGAGGACAGAGGGGGAGAGAAGGTGGGGGGATAGAGGAAAGATGAGAGGGGAGAGAAGTCGAGAGAGGTAGGGGGATAGAGGACAGAGAGGAGGGGGAGGGAGAGAAGGAGAGAAGTAGGGGGGCTATAGGAAGAGAGAGAGAGGAGAGGGAGAGAAGGTAGGGAGGATATAGGAGGTAGGATATAGGACAGGAGAGCAGGGGCGAGAGAAGATGGGGGATCGAGGACGAGAGAGGGAGAGAAGGGGGGAGGGGTGGTAGAGGACGGTAGGGACAGAGAGCGGGGGAGGAGAGAAGAAGAAAGAGAGAAAAATAACATGTATTATTCAGAGTAAAAGCATCAGATGTTATTTGTAGAGAGAGAGAGAGAGAGAGAAAGAGAAAGAGATACAATTACCACCACCACATATCAGTCATCATCCTCCTGGTAAACAAAAGGCTTGTGTGCAGTTTCATCAGAATTAATACAAATAAATGTCAACTGGCAGCCATTGTGGAGCCGGGGGGGGGGGGGTTCACAGCTAGCATGCAACAATACCACTCCGCTCTACAGTGACTGCTCTATGTCTGTCTGTCTGACACTCAGGGTCTATTGTCTGTCAGGATGGGTGAAGCCCTCTAACATGTGACTCTTTCCATGTTGAATTGGAGATGGCCTCAACTAAAGCCTGTGGATAATTGATTAGATGATATCATAGCTACAGCAAGTGTCTGGACCAAGGTGCGGACGTGCCTCGGGGGAAGATCTAGCTATGTGTGTGACAGTCAACACAAGGATTAGGTGACTCATGTGTTGTCCCTAAGGGAGAGAGGGGAGGAAGGGAGGATGTATGATCACATGCTGCATTTGTCTCAACACATTTGTCAGGGCTGAACGTCTAGCAACGGAACCATTTGATTTCCAAACTAAAAGAACGAGGAAGTATTTTAACCCGAGCCTTGATCATCTGTCGTCTGTGAGAGAAGGAAGGTGCTTAACAAACATGGTTTTGAATATTGCATATTGCATTGATGATGCATTTCCAGATTGAGATCAGCCAAGCAGTGAACAAAATGAGAAGTGCTTTGCAGAATGGCTGTTAAAGCCAGCAGTTGGGTGCATTGATGTGGATTTGTTTCTTCTGGTTGATGGGAATAACAGCTCTACAGAATACCAATACATCGTCACACAGATGTACACACAAACATTTACTGTATACACATATGCATCTATGCACCAGGCTCACACACATGCACATTTAAACAAGCCCACTCATACTGTGGTTGAAACAGATGACTTGGCCATTTAAACAAGCCCACTCATACTGTGGTTGAAACAGATGACTTGGCCTAGCCCCAGCTATTCCATCTAAAGGAAGGGTATTAACAGAAGCTCCAGGAATAGAGGGGGACCAGCAGGGAGAAAAGCCTCAGGCTGAGAGGCCTGTCTCTGGGTAGATGCTCTCCCTCTCCCCACTCTCCTCTCTCCTGGATGTGATATGGGGGCATATGGGTAGCAGCAGGGTATCAGGAACATGGGTGAACCCACGGACCTGCCTGCGCTCTCCGTCACCTCAAAACACCACACACACACACACACACACCACACACACACACACACACACACCGCACACACACACGCACACACATGGACCTCCTGCGCCCTCCGTCACCTCAAACACACACACACACCACACACACACACACACACACACACACACACACACACACACACACACACCCCACACAACACACACACACACACACACACAATACACACACACACACACACACACACACACACACCACACACTGGACCTGCCTGTGCTCTCACTTCATCACCTCAAACACACACACCACACACACACACACACACACACATGAACCTGCCTGCGCTCTCACTTTGTCACCTCAAACACACACACACACACACACACAGACCTGCCTACACTCTCTCACTGTCACTTTAAACTGCCTAATTAATACTGGAGAGGGATGGCCCAGTGCTTCTGACAGTTTAATACTAGAAGTGTCAGCTTTATTTTTCAACCATTTATTTTATCTAGCTGCCGATTTATCGTATTCCCGTGTAAGAGTGTGCTGTAAATTCGCTCAGTGCGAGAAGCTGAGAAGTGTTCAACCTGGTAGCTTTTCACTGTCCGAGACGGGGATGTAACGGTCGGTCCGAATGAAATATACAAGACAGGACATGGTTGTTCTGTATTCTACAGAGAGAGGGCATTAGAAAATCATGAGGGCTAAAAGCTACGGCTGGCTGTTAGGACGCTACCTGGCTGTTAGGACGGTACCTCTCTGTTAGGACGGTACCTCTCTGTTAGGACGGTACCTCTCTGTTAGGACGGGTACCTCTCTGTTCAGGAACGCTACCTGGGCTGTAGGACGGTACCTCTCTGTTTAGGACGATACCTCGGCTGGTTAGGCCGCTATCTGGCTTTTAGGATTGGGTACCTGGCTTTTTAGGAGCGCTTATCTGGCTGTTAGGGACGCTATCTTGGCTGTTAGGATGGTACCCTGGCTGTTAGGATTGCCCTATCTGGTGTTAGGCTGGTACCTAGCTGTTAGGATGGTGGTACTAGGTGTAGGACGCTATCTGGCTGTAGGATGGTGACTACGTTAGACGCTATCTGGCTGTTAGGCATGGTACTGGCTGTGAACCCTGAGTGGCGCAGGGTTCTAAGGCACTGCAGCAGTGCTAACTGTGCCAATAGAGATCGGTTCGAATCCAGGCTCTGTCGCAGCGGACGGGACGGGAGACTCGATGGGCGACGCACAATGGCCCAGCGTTGTCCAGGGAGGGGAGGGAATGGCGGAGGGATGTAGCTCAGTGATAGAGCATGGCGTTGCAAACGCCAGGGTTTGTGGGTTCGATTCCCCAAGGGGACCCGTTAAAAAAATGATCACTAAAGTAAGTCGCTTGGACTAAGAGCGTCTGCTGAAAGGACTAAAATGTAATGTAAGAATGTTAGGAGGTATTCTGGCTGTTAGGATGGTACCTAGCTGTTAGGAGCTATAGGGCTGGTAGGATAGTCCTAGTGTCTGGAGCTATCTGGCTGTTAGGATGGTACCAGCTGTAGGACGCTATCTGCCATTAGGCTTGTTGCTTTTTTTTTAATCTGGCTGTTAGGATGGTCCTAGCTTGTTAGGACGTATCTGGATGTTAGATGGTACCTAGCTGTTAGGATGCTATCTGGCTGTTCCGGATGGTACCTAGCGTTTAGGACGCTATTCTGGATGTTATTAGTACCTCGCGTTAGACGCTATATGGCTTTAGGATGCTATCTGCTGTTAGTATGTACTATCTGTTTAGGACGCTAGTCTGGCTTGTTAGGATGGTACAATGGTTTGTTAGGGACGCTATCTGGCTGTCTAGGACGCTATCTGGCTGTTAGGCTGGTACATAGCTGTTTGGACACTATGGGCTGTTAGGAGGTACATAGCGGTTAGGACTCTATTGGTGTTGGACGCGATCTGGCTGGAGGAGGTACCTAGCTGTTTGGGACACTATCTGGTGTAGGATGGTACCTTAGATGTAGGAATTCGATATGGCTGTAGGATAGTACCTAGTGTAGGACCGCTATCTGGCTGTTTAGGATGGCACAAGCTGTTAGGACCACTATAGGCGTTAGGATGGGGTACCTAGCTGTAGATGCTATTTGCTGTCTAGGATGGAACGGGCTGTTAGACGCGACTGGCTGTGAGGATGGGACCTAGCTGTGGATTGCTATCTGGCGTTAGATGGTAACTAGCTGTTAGTGAACAATATCGGCGGTAGGATGTACATAGCGTAGGACGCTATCTGGCTGTTAGGATGGTACCTAGCTGTAGCGACGCAGTATGGCGTTTAGGATGGTACCTAGCTGTTGGAACTATCTGGTGTTAGGTGGTTTACCTAAGCTTTAGGCTTATCTGGCTTAGGTAGTACGAGCTGTTAGGACGCTATCTGGCTTGTTAGGATAGCACCAAGTGTTAGGAGGCTACTGGCTGTTAGGATGGTACCTAGATGTTAGGACGCATAGCTTGGCTGTTAGATGGACCTAGCTGTTAGGACGCTATCTGGCTGTGAGGATTGGGGATGGTACCGAGTTGTTCGGAGCTATCTGGCTTTTAGGATGGGACTAGTGTTAGGACGATATCTGGCTGTTAGGATAGTTACCTAGCTGTTAGGACGGGTCATCCGGCGTAGGATGGTGACCTGGCTGTAGGATGGATACCTAGCTGTTAGGACGCTATCTGGTGTTGTAGGATGGTTACCTGGCTTTAGGATGTCGGTCACCTGGCTGTTAGGAGGTACTGGCTTTAGGATGTACCTGGCTGTTAGGACGATATGGCTGTTTAGGACGCATATCTGGATGGTAGGAGGTACCTGTCTATTACAGGGCCACAAACAGAGAAGGTCACTTTGGCTAGCTATAACTCAAGAGAGGTAAGTTTCCCTGACGTTTGCCATAGGCTTTGTAAAGTCTGGGGACTATCCTCCAAAATCTTACCCACCAAAACCAACTTCCCAACTTGGGGCAGAGTATAGAGACCCAAAGTTGCCAGTCCCAAAGGACGCTAGCAGTAGTAGTGTAGTAGCGGTAAGAAGATAGAGTTGAGTACAGTACAGTAAAAAGAGTATCATTTACAGCAAGTAACTCTACACAACCAGGAGAACACCACTCTCTCCATCATCCACTCCAATCCCTCCCTCCCTCCCTCCCAAACCCAACCCTGACACAAAACAACCCTTCACTCTCACTCTGATACAGCAGCCACTCAATCCGAGGGTGCTTGAAGTCCATAAGGGTGCCAGTCACACTCCCAGGTGTTAGCCCCCTAGCGGTAAATACTGAAAGGTTTAGCAGGGGCCGCAGGCGGGCTTTGCCAGGGCAGTAAGCATGTTCCGGGCAGGCCGAGCCACGGCAGCCCCTGCAGCTCATCCAGCAGATCCCAGGGGGATTCAGACAGCCCGTTGAGAGAGAACATCTAACTTCCTCACCCCCAACAGTCCCTGCGAAGAGATCCAAGTCCAAGGGCCCCTAAGACTGTTGTTGTGGAGGCAGATCAGGATTAGATTCCCCAGGTCCTTGAAGAGTGCAGGGGGTTAGATTACCAGATAGTTGTGGGAAAGATCCAGGCTCGAGCCAGGGAGGTGAGGTTAGCAACGGAACCTGGGACTTAGGGGAGGAGAGGTGGATTGGGGGGAAGAGGCAGGAGAGGGGGAGGGGGGGGATAAGGACGAAGGGGGGGAAGAAGGGGGGGTAGAGGCGGAGGGGGGGGGGAGAAAAGGGGGGGGAAAAGAGGAGAGAGAGGGGGAGGAAGGAGGGGGGGAAAGGGGCAGAAGGGGGGAGGGGTAGGGGGATGGGGAAGAAGGGGGGGAGGAGAAGGAAGGGGGGGGTAGGGGAAAAGAGAGGGGGGGGAAAAAAAGGTTTGGGGGGATAGGCAGAGAGGGGGGAAGAATAGGGGGATAGGGAAGGAGAGGGGAGAGGGGGGAGAAAAGGGTGGGGGGTGAGGAAAGGAGGGGGGGGGGGGGGGGGAAAGTGGGGGGATGGGGGGGGGGGGGAAAGGGGGGGGGGATGGGGGGGGGGGAGAAGTAGGGGGATAGGGGGCAGGAGAGGGGGAGAGGAAGGGGGGAAATAGGGGGATATAGGACAGAGAGGGGGGGAGAAGGGGGGGGGTAGAGGCAAGGAGGGGGGAGAGAGGGGGGGGGGTGGGGGGAAACGAGAGGGGGGGAAAGGTGGGGGGGATAGGGAAGGGAGGGGAGAGAAGGGGGGGGTGGGACGAAGGGGAGGAGAAGGGTGGGGGATAGGGAAAGAGAGAGGGAGAGGGGAAAAGGGGGGGGGATGAGGACGAGAGGGAAGGAGAGAAATAGGGGGGGGGGGAAAGGAGAGGGGGGGGGAGAAGAGGGGGATGAGGAAAGGAGAGGGGGGGAAGGGGGGGGGGTGGGGAAGAGAGGAGGGGGAAGAAGAGGGGGGGAAAGACAGAGGGGGGGGGGGGAGGGTAGGGGGGGATGAGGACGAGAGAGGGGGGGAAAAAAGGGGGGTGAGGCCGAGAAGGGAAGAAGAGTGGGGGGGGATAAGGACAGAGAGAGGGGGAAAAAGGTGGGGGGGAAGAGGACAGAGAGGGGGGGAAGAAAGGTGGGGGTAAGGGCGAGAGGGGGAGAAAAGGTGGGGGGGGGAAGGGACAAGAGGGGGAGAGAAGGGGGGGGTGGGAGGACAGAGAGAGGGGGAGAGAAGGGGGGGGGGAAAGAGGCCCAAAGAGGGGGAGAGAGGTAGGGGGGAATAGGCAGAAGAGGGGAGAGGGGGAGAAGAGGGAGGTATAGGACAAGAGGGGGGAAGAAGAGGGGGGTAGAGGACAGGAGAGGGGAGAAAGGTGGGGGGGGGTAGAGGAAGAGAGGGGGGGAAAAAGAAGAAAAAGGAAAAATAACTGTATTTCAAGTAAAAGCACAGATTTTTTATTTTAAGAGGAGAGAGAGAGAAAAGGATAAATTACAACCCCCACATACGTCTATCCTCTGGTAAAAAAAGGTTTGGTGCAGTTTCATCAATTAAAAAAAAAATTTAAAGGGGCAGCCATTGTGGGCCGGGGGGGGGGGGTTCACAGTAGCATGCAACATCCACCCCCCTTACAGGACTGTTATGCTTTTGTCTGACATCAGGGTCTATTGTCTGCAGGAGGGGTGAAGCCTCTAACGGGATTTTCCATGTTGAATTGGAGATGGCCTAAAAAACCCTGTGGAAAATTGTTTAGTTTAATCATGTACAGCAAGGGTTGGCCCAAGGTGCGGAGTGCCTGGGGAAGAAAAGCTATGTGTGGACAGCAACACAAGGATTAGGACTCATGGGGCCCTAAGGGAGGGGGAGGGGAGGAAGGGAGGATGTATATACATGCTCTTTGTCTCAACATTTGTCAGGGGGGAACGCTAGCAACGGAACCTTTTGTTTTCCAAACTAAAAGAACGAGGAAGTTTTTAAACCCCGGCCCTTTTGATATCTGTGTCTGTGAGAAAAGGAAGGGTTAACAAAACGGGTTTTTGAATATTGCATTTGCATTGATGAGCATTTCCAGATTGAGATCAGCAACAGTGAACAAAAATGAAAGGCTTGCAGAAAAGGTTTAAACCAGAGTTGGGTGATTGATGTGGATTTGTTTCTTTGGTTGATGGGAATAAAGTCTACGAAAACAAACATCGTCACACAGATGTAACACAAACATTTAGTATACACAAAGATCATGCCCAGGCTCAAACCCCATGCCATTTTAAAAAAGCCCATCATCGTGGTTTGGAAAAAAGAGACTTTGGAATTTTTTAAAAAAGCCCACTATAGTGGTTGAAAAAAGATACTTGCCAGCCCCCGCTATTCCCTCAAAGGAAGGGTATTAACGAAATCCCAGGAATAGAGGGGGACCAGCAGGGGAGGGAAAAACCTCAGGTGAGAGGCTGTTTGGGTAGAGTCCCCTTCCCCACTCTCCTCTCTCCCGGATGTGAATGGGGGCATAGGGTGCCGCAGGGTATCAGGAAAATGGGTGAAACCCACGGACCCGCCTGCGCTCTCCGTCACCTCAAAAAACCCCAAAACACACAACACACACCACACACCACACCACCCCAAAACACGACACAAAGCACAACAGGACCTCCGCGCCCTCCGCACCCCCAAACCACACACCCACCACACACACAAAACACACACACACACCACCACACACACCCCAACCCCACACACACACACACACACAAAACCACACCCACAACACACAACACAAAACACACTGGGCCCCCCTTTTCTCTCACTTTATCACCTAAACCACACAAACACACACAACCACAACACGAAAAGTGCGCTCCACTTTTTTCACCTCAAACACACCCCACACAAAACACGACCGCTACACCCCACGTCCTTTAAAAATGCCTAAAAACTGGAGGGGATGGCCGTGTTTTTTACAGTTTAATAAGAATTCAGCTTTATTTTTAACCCTTTATTTTTTCTGTGCCGATTTATCGTATTCCCGTGTAAGAGTGTGCGTAAATTTGTCAGGCGAGAAAAACTGAGAAGTGTTCAACCTGGGAGTTTTCATGTCCGAGACGGGGGGTTTTTAAAGGGCGGGCGAATAAATATACAAAAACAGGGGTTGTCTGTATTCTACAGAGGAGGCATTGAAAATCATGAGGCTAAAAGCTACGGTGGCGTTAGGACGCTACCTGGCTGTTAGGACGGTACCTCTCTGTTAGGACGGTACCTCTCTGTTAGGACGGTACCTCTCTGTTAGGACGCTACCTGGCTGTTAGGACGGTACCTCTCTGTTAGGACGATACCTGGCTGTTAGGACGCTATCTGGCTGTTAGGATGGTACCTGGCTGTTAGGACGCTATCTGGCTGTTAGGACGCTATCTGGCTGTTAGGATGGTACCTGGCTGTTAGGATGCTATCTGGCTGTTAGGATGGTACCTAGCTGTTAGGATGGTACCTAGCTGTTAGGACGCTATCTGGCTGTTAGGATGGTACCTAGCTGTTAGGACGCTATCTGGCTGTTAGGATGGTACCTGGCTGTTAGGATGGTACCTAGCTGTTAGGACGCTATCTGGCTGTTAGGATGGACCAGCTGTTAGGACGCTATCGGCTGTTAGGATGGTACCTAGCTGTTAGGACGCTATCTGCCTTTTAGGATGCTATCTGGCTGTTAGGATGGTACCTAGCTGTTAGGACGCTATCTGGCTGTTAGGATGGTACCTAGCTGTTAGGATGCTATCTGGCTGTTAGGATGGTACCTAGCTGTTAGGACGCTATCTGGCTGTTATGATAGTACCTCGCTGTTAGGACGCTATCTGGCTGTTAGGATGCTATCTGGCTGTTAGGATGGTACCTAGCTGTTAGGACGCTATCTGGCTGTTAGGATGGTACCTGGCTGTTAGGACGCTATCTGGCTGTTAGGACGCTATCTGGCTGTTAGGATGGTACCTAGCTGTTTAGGACACTATCTGGCTGTTAGGATGGTACCTAGCTGTTAGGACTCTATCTGGCTGTTAGGACGCTATCTGGCTGTTAGGATGGTACCTAGCTGTTTGGACACTATCTGGCTGTTAGGATGGTACCTAGCTGTTAGGACTCTATCTGGCTGTTAGGATAGTACCTAGCTGTTAGGACGCTATCTGGCTGTTAGGATGGCACCAAGCTGTTAGGACACTATCTGGCTGTTAGGATGGTACCTAGCTGTTAGGATGCTATCTGGCTGTTAGGATGGTACCTGGCTGTTAGGACGCTATCTGGCTGTTAGGATGGTACCTAGCTGTTAGGATGCTATCTGGCTGTTAGGATGGTACCTAGCTGTTAGGACACTATCTGGCTGTTAGGATGGTACCTAGCTGTTAGGACGCTATCTGGCTGTTAGGATGGTACCTAGCTGTTAGGACGCTATCTGGCTGTTAGGATGGTACCTAGCTGTTTGGACACTATCTGGCTGTTAGGATGGTACCTAGCTGTTAGGACTCTATCTGGCTGTTAGGATAGTACCTAGCTGTTAGGACGCTATCTGGCTGTTAGGATGTACCAGCTGTTAGGATCTATCTGGCTGTTAGGATGGTACCTAGCTGTTAGGACGCTATCTGGCTGTTAGGATGGTACCTAGCTGTTAGGACGCTATCTGGCTGTTAGGATGGTACCTAGCTGTTAGGACTGCTATCTGGCTGTTAGGATGGTACCTAGCTGTTAGGACGCTATCTGGCTGTTAGGATAGTACCTAGCTGTTAGGACGCTATCTGGCTGTTAGGATGGTACCTGGCTTTTAGGATGGTACCTAGCTGTTAGGACGCTATCTGGCTGTTAGGATGGTACCTGGCTTTTAGGATGGTACCTGGCTGTTAGGATGGTACTGGCTTTTAGGATGGTACCTGCGTGTTAGGAGCTATCTGTGCTGTTAGGATGGTACCTGGCTGTTAGGATGGTACCTGGCTTTTAGGATGGTACCTAGCTGTTAGGACGCTATCTGGCTGTTAGGATGGTACCTGGCTTTTAGGATGGTACCTGGCTGTTAGGATGGTACCTGGCTTTTAGGATGGTACCTGGCTGTTAGGACGCTATCTGGCTGTTAGGACGCTATCTGGCTGTTAGGATGGTACCTGTCTATTACAGTGCCACAACAGAAGAAGGTCACTTTGGCTAGCATATAACTCCAAGAGAGGAGTTTCCCTGACGTTGCCATAGGCTTGTAAAGTCTGGGACTATCCTCTAAATCTACCCCACCAAACCAACTCCCAACTGGGGCAGAGTATAGAGACTCCAAAGTTGCAGTCCCAAAGGACTGCTTAGCAGTAAGTAGTTAGTAGAGTGTAGAAGACTAGAGTTGAGTACAGTACAGTAAAGACTGTATCATTTACAGCAAGTCACTCTACACACTCAGGAGAAACACCCTCCCTCCCTCCCTCCCCCCTCCCTCCCTCCCTCCCTCCCAAACCCAAACCCTGACACAAAACATACCCTTCACTCTCACCTCTGTACAGCAGCCACTCAATCCAGTGCTTGAAGTCCCTCAGGTTGCAGTCACACTCCCAGGGGTTAGCCCCTAGCTGTAAATACTGAAGGTTAGCCAGGGGCTCGAAGGCGGCTCTCTGCAGGGCATGTAGCCTGTTCCCGGCCAGGGAGAGCCACGTCAGCCCCTGCAGCTCATCCAGCAGACCCAGGGGGATCTCAGACAGCCCGTTGAGGGAGACATCTAACTTTCCTCACCCCCACCAGCCCCTGGAAGAGATCCCTATCCAAGGCCCTAAGACTGTTGTTGTGGAGGGTCAGATCAGATAGATTCCCCAGGTCCTTGAAGAGTGCAGGGGGTAGATTATCCAGATAGTTGTTGGAAAGATCCAGTCGATCCAGGGAGGTGAGGTTAGCAAAGGACCCTGGACTCAGGGAGGAGAGGTGGTTGTTGGGCAGCAGGAGGGTGCGGGTGGTGACGGGAAGCTGGGTGAGGGCGGGCATGGAGAGCAGGCCGCGCCCGCTGCAGTCTACGTCGGTGGCGTTGCAGAGGCAGGTCGGAGGGCAGGCGTTGGTTAGATCCACCAGGGAAGACAGGACACACAGGAGACACAGTAGAACTGGAGAGAGATGGACAGAGGGAAGAAAGGGTCAGAGGCAAATAAGGCAGAAACCAATCTCCCTGTGAAATACAGTGACTAATGTACAATGCAGGGCGCAACTGAAGAGAGAGAGGGACATAGACAAAATATAGGGTTAGAGAGAGAGGGACAGAGACAAAGATATAGTGTTAGAGAAAGGGACAGAGACAAAGAAAAGAGGTTTTGAGAGAGAGGGACAGGGGGAAAAAATATAGGGTTAGAGAGAGAGGGACAGAGACAAAGATATAGTGTTAGAGAGAGAGGGACAGAGACAAAAATTTTAGGGGTTTGAGAGGAACAGAACAAAAATATAGTGGGTTAAAAGGAGAGGGACAGAGACAAAGATATAGTGTTAGAGAGAGAGGGACAGAGACAAAATAATGGTTTTGAGGAAGGGACGAGACAAAAATTAGAGTTAAGGGAGAGGGACCCAGACAAAGATATCGGGTTGGGGAGACAGACAGAGACAAATTAGTGTTTGAGAGAGAGGGGCAGAGACCAAAAAATAGAGTTAGGAGAGGGACAGAAAAATATATGTGTTAGGGGAGAGAGGGAAAAAGGACAAATATATAGGTTAGAGGGGGAGAGGGACAGAGGGGCCCAAAATATGTGTTAGAGAGAGAGGGGGCAAGACAAAGATATGTGGGGTTTGAAGGAGGACAGAACCAAAATATAAGTTTGGGGAAGGGGAAAAACAAAGATTAGTGGGTTTGAGAAGGGGCAAGACAAAAAAATTTGTGTTAGGAGAAGGGACAGAGACAAATATATAGTGTTAGAGAGAGAGGGACAGAGACAAATATATAGTGTTAGAGAGAGAGGGACAGAGACAAAGATATAGGGTTTGGGGAGAGGGGACAGAGGACAAATATTAGAGTTTTGAGAGAGAGGGGGCGAGACAAAGATATAGGGTTAGAGAGACAGACAGAGACAAAAATTTTTAGGGGGGTTTGAGAGAGAGGGACAGAGACAAAAAATATTTGTGTTAAAAGAGAGGGACAGAGACAAAGATATAGGGTTAGAGAGAGAGAGGGACAGAGACAAAAAATTAGTGTTAAAGAGAGAGGGAAAAGAGACCAAAATATAGGGGTTAGAAAAAGGGACAGAGGAAAAAATTAGTGTTAGAGAGAGAGGGACAGAGACAAAGATATAGTGTTAGAGAGAGAGGGACAGAGACAAAGATATAGTGTTAGAGAGAGAGGGACAGAGACAAAGATATAGTGTTAGAGGAGAGGGAAAAGAGAAAGATTAGGGGGAGAGAAGGGGGGCCCGAGACAAAAAATATTTTGGGGAAAAGGGGGAAGGGGGCAGAGGGCAAAGATATAGGGTTAGAGAGAGAGGGACAGAGACAAAGATATATGTTTAAAAAGAGGGGAGGACGAGGCAAAGATATAGGGGTTTGAGAAGGGGAAGAGCAAAAAATATAGGTTAAGAGAGAGGGGGCAAAAAAAGATAAGGGGGAAGGGAGAGGGACCGAGAAAAATATAGGTTTAAGGGGGAGGGAAAGAGAAAAAAGATTAGGGGTTTTAAAAGAGAGGGACAGGACAAAAAAAATAGGGTTTTAAGGGGAGAACAGAACAAAGATATAGGGTTTGGGGAGGGGGGAAAAGAGAAAAAGATAAAAGGGTTAGAGAGAGAGGGACAGAGACAAAAATAGGGTTAAGAGAGGGGAAGAGACAAAATATAGGGTTTTGAGAGAGAGGGGAAAAGACAAAAATTAGGGGGAGAGAGAGGGGACCGAGACAAATATATTTTTGAGAGAGGGGGGACAAGACAAAAAATATAGTGTTGGGGGAGAGAGGGGACAGAGACCAAAAAATATAGGGTTAGGGGAAAAAGACGGAGAGAGACCCAAAAATATAGGGTTAGAGAGAGAGAGGGACGGGGACAAAGATTGGGTTAGAGAGAGGGGCAGAGACAAAGATTTTGTGTTAGAGAAAAAATGTCTTTTATATGAAATATAGGGTCCTACTTATCATTTTCCCCAAACAAATGAAGTTAAAAAAAAAAACCTTATTTTTTTGGGGAGAATACGGCTTGGCTTTAAAAAATTAGTTTTTTGTTTTTGGGTTTTTGGCTGGCCTGTGAGACAGGGCAGGGCGGGGTTTTGAGAAGGGGCAAAAATATGGGGTTCATCCTTTTGTCTAAAGGGCCCCTTAATTTTAAATGGCTCTTCTCAAACCCAAAAAGACAATTTACTTTCCTGAGAATACGATGAATCATATTACAATTTAAAAAAAAAACATGGTCTTTTGGTTAGGGAAAAGAGGTTTTCTTGGCTAAAACCCCTTTGCATTTGGTTTTGGGGTTTTTTCTGACTGAGAGAGGACATTAGCTAAGTGTCCCTTTTGGGTTTTGTCGACTGAGGGGAAAACATTACTAAGGGTCCGTTTTGGTTTTTTGTTTTGGGCTGAGAAGGGACATTGCTAAGTGTCCTTTTGGTTGTTTTCGGGCTGGAGAGGACAGGCTAAATGTCCCTTTGGGTTTTTGGGCTACTGAGGGGGGACATTACCCCAAGTGTCCGTTTGGGTTTTTGTCCCGGGCTGAAGGGGGGACATTAGCTAAGTGTCCGTTTGGTTGTTGTTGGGCTGAGAGGGGGACATTAGCTAAGTGTCCGTTTGGATGTTGTCTGACTGGAGAGGAATTAAATAAGTGGGCCCTTTTTTGGTTTTTGTCTGACTGAGAGAGGGGCATTAGCTAAGTTTTCTGTTTTTGGGTTTTTGTCTGACTGAGAAGGGCATTTGCTAAGTGTTTCCCTTTTTGGGTTGGGTTTTCCCCGCTGAGAGAGACATTGCTTTAAATGTCCGTTTGGTTGTTGTCTGACTGAGAGAGGACATTAGCTAAGTGTCCGTTTGGTTGTTGTCTGACTGAGAGAGGACATTAGCTAAGTGTCCGTTTGGTTGTTGTCTGACTGAGAGAGGACATTAGCTAAGTGTCTGTTTGGTTGTTGTCTGACTGAGAGAGGACATTAGCTAAGTGTCTGTTTGGATGTTGTCTGACTGAGAGAGGACATTAGCTAAGTGTCTGTTTGGATGTTGATAGCTTCCTACTACTTTAGTAATTCTATCCAGTGACAGTATGGGAGTGTGGAGGTGTCAATCAGTCAGTGTGTGTCCGTCGTGCGTGTGTTAGTTTGTAGTGTGTGCCCTGTGTGTGTCGTTGTCTGTCTTGTGGTCTGTCGTCTGTCTGGGGTGTCTGTTGTGTGAGTGTGACTGCATCAGTCAGTGTCTGGGGATCCCTAGCCAAAGCCAAGTCATGTGTTATTAATGAGAGAGAGGACAAATGCAGCCAATGTCAGCGGTCTACCAGGGGGTCATGCACAACCTTTAGCTATCTGTCATTAGCCTTGGACAGACGGGATTCAGGACGCTTGTCCTGAAGGTCATTCTCATGCGGCATTGAAGGGCATTCCCCTTTCCTCTCTCTCTCTCCTCTCTCCTCCTCTCCTCTCTCTCTCTCTCTCTCTCTCTCCTCTCCTCTCTCTCTCCTCTCTCCTCTCTCTTCTCTCTCTCTCTCTCTCTCTCTCTCTCTCTTTTCTCTCTCTCTCTCTCTCTCTCTTCTCCCCTTCTCTCTCTCTATATATATATAATATATATATATATATATTATATATATATATTATATATATATATTAGCACCTTCCGTCCACTCCTCGTCTCGTTATGACCCCTACTTTCAGAACAGGAGTGATGGTTATAGGTCTACACCTCTGGCTCGAGCATGCTCTGACTCAGACCCTTAAATCAGTCAGTGTGACCCGTCCCCTTGTTTCTGAGAAGCACTTTGCTTTATTTACATTGCTGTTTTACGAGAAGAAACGTCTATATTTTAACACTTCCTGTGGCAAGCGAGTGTCGAGGTGACAGGTTTTCTGGAGGACAACGCTACAGGGAGAGACCCAGAGAGAGCACTAGAAGACTGAGGTGAACTACAGAGAGACGTATTACGGAAGTGCACAAGGGGCGCTATAAAAAAAACAACAGAATCTAAACTAGGCTGTATGGTAGATATTATCTCTTCATATTTAACAGCTGTTAACTTCTATATCTGATGTAATCTGAATGCAACTCTAACCCAGTCTGAGTTCTAACACTGGGGCTTCAATGGGAAGAGAGATGTGGGTTTGAGTGTAGAGAAACTGCCTTGCAGCTCTCTAAATTATTTGAGGGGAATTTTTTTTAAAAGACTGCAGCAACTTCCGCTGTTGTTTGCAGTGCTCTGCTTTTAGCTAGTCTCCCCTGGCGAGGAGGAGAGGTATTTGTAATGATGCAGAGACCGTGGAAGTCTCATAGACAGGTTTTTCTCTCGCTCTCCTTAGCATAGGTTTTGATTGAGTATTTATGAGATGTAAAGTCAAAAGACAGAAGCTTATCTCCTTAAACGCTTTGTTTCAAAAAGCTAAGACGTCTCGGAAGCCTCTTTTACTCAATTTGCATGTACATTCAATGAAATGAAATGAAATGAAGCGTGAGAGAGAGAGAAGGATAAAACCCTTTTTGTATCCCTTTTATTGGGTCAAGCCACCCGAGCCATGGCCTGTTACCCCGCTACCATCTAGGAGGGCGGAGACAGTACAGGTGCATCAAAGCTGGGACCGAGAGACTGAAAAACAGCTTCTATCTCCAGGCCATCAGACTAAATAGTCACCACTAGCCGGCCTCCGCCCAGTACCCTGCTCTGAACCTTAGTCACTGTTACTATCCGGCTACCACCCGGTTACTCTACCCTGCACCTTAGAGACTGCTGCCCTATGTACATAGACTCATTGAACACTGGTCACTTCAAGAATGTTTACATACTGTTTTACCCACTTCATATGTATATACTGTATTCTAGTCATGGCTCATCTTATATATAACTACTGCTGTATATAACTACTGCTGTACACACCTTATTTATTAATATACTGTCCATACCGCCTATACACACCATTCACATTTATATTCCAGACTACTGTGTATTTAAATACTGTATTCTCGA